ATTGTTCCCTCTGCCATATGCCTTTCTTCTAAGACTGCTAGGGTGCAGCCATTGGGGCTTTGGCTAGAAGAGGTCCCATGAGGCAGAAGTCAGCAAGCTGGGACTGGTGTCTGTATGAAACCTGGTAAGCAGGTTGGGAAGGCTGGTAACTTCCATTTCACAGGCTGTGTTGTTAACACGGAGGGCAGGATAAGATGTCATGAGCATCCACCTAGCCAGACACACCTTGGCAGTCATGCAAAGCAAAGTGAGGTGTTCATGTATGCACGCATGTGCGTGCACATACACACACACACACACACACACACACACACACACACACACACACACACACACACGAGACTTGGGGATGTGCTGTTGTTCAAGGTAGCCCGTGCTTGCTTTCCTCCCTCCTAGGTTGTCCCAATTCACGTTGGTAGAACCCAAGGGTCATTCTAGTTCCAGGTATTATGACAGGGGCTACCCAGGCTCCCAGGGAATTTACCTCAAATACTACCAACTACTCACAAGGTTCGCCTTCCTGTTATAAGACCCAGCAGGGGAGCCTCTCTGGCTTCTTTAGGCTTCCCTTTCCCTTCTTGGTTACAGTACCTTGCCCGTGGTAAGGAGGGCTAGGCTGAACCTGGTGCAGAGTATGAGAGGCCCTAGCAGTAGTAAGTAGATGCTGATGGCCACTCAAGTGATAGCACTATCCCCAGACCCCATTTCCAAAAGGTCTTCTCTGGATCCCAGACTCATGCCACCCCAACAGATATGAGCCCACTGCCCAATACAGTGGTCAGGACCCAAGTCTCCTTCCAGGGCAGCTAGCTCCAAGCAACCTCTCCCCGGGGCTCCCACCTCTAGCAGCCTGTCCTTTGGTCAGATTGGTCAGCAACACTAGAATCTGCCAAATCCAGAAGAACCTGGGTCTCCAGCTGTTCTTGTGAACTTGCCTTAGAATTTTCTATTCCATGCAGCCAACCCTCCTCAGAAACACTGGCATGGAATTTTCTAAGTATATCACAACAGCAGCTCCCTAGACAGGCCCCAGAATGTGGCCCATGTAACCCAATCACCAGGGTCCTGGTGACGCTTCCCTCCCCAGGAACAACTCACAAGAGTCTGTCCTCTCCTGCCACCTTGTGGCATCTGAGGATCAGGGCCTGTACACTTTTTGACTACCACCTCTCAACCTGCTGGTCCACTAGGTTTAAGTAGTCTTCCTTAGCGAGCAAGTGTGTATAAATGCCACATCCTAGAAACCTATGGCAGCCTCAACTTTCTGGGCTGACCTGCCCTCCACTGTAAGTTTTGTATCTCCCTTCCTACGCACAACTAAGAGGCAGCTTAAGGACAGCAGGCAAGAGACACCTAGAGTGGTCTGGTACAAAAGATACCCTCAGGTACAATCAACCAGCCTTTCAACCCTGGAACAGGCTAAGCAGGGCAGTAGAGGATAGTAACAGGACTTTACAATGCACTTTCTGGCTCCAAACAGACACAGGGACTGGTATGTGTGTGCAGTGCAGCATCAAGAACAGAATTCACCTAATCCTTCACACAAGCTAATAATCTGCAGAGGGTAGATGCAGGGCAGTGTAACACAGGCCCTAGGTCCCTTGGGCCTCCCCCATGCAGCCAACCCTCCTCAGAAGCACTGGCATGGATGGGCCTGGTTCAGAGTGTGAATCCTGCCCTCAAGAGCTCCACCCAACACCCACCCCAAACCTCTGCTGCTCATGCCTGGGTGTTACAGCACTCTGAGGGTCATGGTCAGGACAGCACCTCCCCACACCAAGAAAGAATGTGACTCCCAAGCCTCTTGTCTAGCACTTAGTGAATGAAAGACCAAATCTAGACAGACAAAACCACTCAATGGAATAAATCATGGGACACATTATCTATTTGAATTATATAAAACACTAATACTGTTATAAAAATGGCATGGCACTTTATTTTTAAAATCAGAAAAATAAGTCCCAAATTCTCAGTTCATAGGCTGTAGTGGAGCATCGGAAAGGGGGAAAGGGAGGTCTCTTCAGTGTGAACAGGACTAAAGAGAACAGGTACTAGGTATGTGACTGAGGCCCCTGGCCCACTCAGCCAAGAAAGCTCCAGGTGGCCAGCACAGAGGTTCCAAGCCCAGGGTCCTCTGGCCACCTCCCCTTCGGGGGCTCAATCTAGCCACTGGAACTCCAGGGATTAGCTGCCCTGAGATGGGACTGGGGGCAGGGGTGAACAACCCCTGATCACAGGTAGTGGGCCCAAAGGTGGCTCTGTAGTAATAGGCATCAAAATCAGGGCGAATACTGTTTAACAGGGATGAAGAGTCTCGATAGAGGCTTCTAGGTGCCCAGTCAGTGCCTCTAGGGTGGAGAAAGAGCCCCAAGAGGTGAGGAAGCAGCCACTGGGTCTCCGCCCCTTCACATCTCTTAGGCAGCTGGAGGATCTTCAAGCAGACACTAACATCATCCCACAGCCAAGAGAAGGTGTGACCTGAAACTCGGGCCAGCCAAATCCATACCATAGCCCTGAGTCAACGAAGCCATTCTGTGCACAGGGCAGGGAATACAGTGCGTGGGAATTGGGGGGCAGGAGAGTGAAGCCTAGGCTGGCACTCCATCACACATGCCAGGCATACGTGTACACACCAGTCACACTTGCACACAAGCACGAAACTCAGAGATGCAAAGACATTGTTGGCAATTAGTTAGAGGCACCAAAAGATGCTGAAGGATCCCAACAGTCTCCAAGTCCTTGGGGTGGCTGCGTAACCTCTCCTAGGAGTGAGTTAGTTATCCAACACAAAGCAGCACATGTGACGAGCACAGTAACAGCAAGAGGCCTGACAACCATGGAGGGGACAGTAGGATGGTGGCATGCCAGAGTTCATCTCTCCTTCTGATGCGATGAGCCTGGGCTTAATCTTGGCACAGCAGGGGCTCCTGCCTTGGCCTCAGGCCCCAGTCAGCCAAACAGTCTGGATTCAGCCTCTGGGCCATCTAGGAAAGCATTTTAGGCCTAAAGAGAAAGGTTCTCACTAGCGCAGCCCCATCACAGCATGACAGATTCACCCAGGGAGTTATCTACAAGCCTCAGGCTCCAGGACTCACAGATGGGGCTTGGCGGGCCACCCCTGGGGCAGAGTGTCGAGTCCACTGTGTCCTCAGGGGTCTGAAGGGATGGCCCAGGATCGAAGGCGGGGGCTGAGGGGCTGGTATTAGACCCAGCAGGGACTGCCGCCTCAGCTGACAAGGGGGCCTTAGAAGAGGCTGGGGGGCCAGGCCTGGCTGCCCCAGAAGTGAAGGGCGATCAGGTAGGGGAAGTAATGGCTGGGGTTTGCGAGGTTGGTCTGGGCCCAGGAGCGACCTCAGGGGCTTCTTTGGGCCCATGAGGGGCTGTTTGGGTAGGTGGGATTGCTCCGGGCTAAGACGTGGGCACTTCTGTTGTTGTGACTGTCTAAGGGTCATCAGGGCAGGCTTGGGAGGGCTACTTTGCTCTGGGCCTTCAACCAATTGCTGGGGCTGACTGGGGCCCACCGATGACTGTTGGGGGCAGCTAGACTGGCCCAGGAGGGGTCTATGGGGCTGGCTCTGCTGACGTGGGGCCAAGAGTGCCTGCTGGGGGCAGCAGCACTGGCCAGAAAGGCAGCTGGTGGGGTGACGACGTGGTTGCAAGGTGAGAGTCCGAGGGGGCTGGCACTGCTGACACTGGGCTAGCAGAGACTGTGGGGGCTGGCACTGCTGTCCTGAGGCAGCCCTACAGGGCTGGTCACAGAGACACAATGTGGTCCACGACTGCAAAGGTCGGCAACGGTGCCACACGGTCAGTAGAGACCGGCAGAGGTGGCACGAGGTCAACATGGACCGAAGTGGATAGCGACGCCATGGAGTCTGGATGGACCGAAGGCGCTGCCTGGAGCCTGGAAGTGCCAAGAGTGGCCTGCGGGACTGAGCCAGGCGTGAGCGCTGGGTCTGGCTGAGCTGATCTGGGGCCGGAAGCAGATGCTGGGGCCGGTGGTGCTGACCAGGGCCCAGAAGTGGGCGCCGGGGCTGGCAAGGCTGTCTCAAGCCTAGAAGTGATCCATGGGGCCAAGCACGCTGACCCAGGGGTGGCCGCTGGGGCTGGCAGGGCTGCCCCGGGGCTGGGAGGGGCCCCTGGGGCTGGCTGGACTGGCTGGGCTGTTGCTGCTGCTGGTGCTGGGCCGGGCCGTTCTGGTGCCAGGGGCTGGCTGGGAGCGGCCCCCCTTCTGGGGAGCACACCTGCATGGAAGAAAGAGTATGTGTCCACCTGGGCAGGTGCGCCCGCGGACCCCCCCATCCAGCCCAGGCCCAAGACATGCTATTCCCTCTCCAGAGCCCAATACCCAAGGGAGCTCAGAACAGAGCCTTAACTGCCGAGAAAAGCCCTTTTCCATAAAGAGGGCACAGGCCTAGGGTCCCCAGCAGGAACGCAACTGCAGCACTGAGCCAATACCCAGGACAGGCCCATCCATGCTCAGGCAGCCCAGCCCAGTTTCTACCTGCTCTGACAGACCTCATCCTCCTTTCTCTTGTTGTCTCTCTCCTCTCACTGCTGGACCACCAACCTGAAGCCTTTGGCTGAACATTCCCCTCTCTTAGCAAGAGTCTGACTCCCAAATCCATTTACAGAGACACACTCTGGATGTCTCCAGACACCTAGTCGGCGGAACCTGACGGACGCAGTGGGAAACGGGGCCGGCCTATCAGCTTGGCACTGTCATCCATCCTGGCCAGCATACACCCCTGTACTCCTGGGGAGAAGCAATAGCACTGGCCAGGCAGGCCTTTCCAGCTGGGCAGACAAGACAGGTCCCCGAACCTCTGTGACCAGCCTGGCTCCTACCTGTCTACCCCATACCCCAAGCCCAGCAACGATGGAGTGCATTGCTAGGCAGGCCAGACACCGAAGGCTGGGGTTCAGGTGCATGTATATAGTCCTGGTGCAGATCCCGCCATTGCAGAGGTCTTGAGTAAGGGAGGGCACAGGATGCTCACCTGTCTGGAGGGCTGCAATGGGACCTTCCTAGTCCCTTCATCACATGTGGGTTCTGCATCCGGCCCCGGACTGCCCACCTCCAGGGTCTGTCTGTTTTCACTCAGCTCAGCAGATGGGCAGTTTTCTGACTCGCGGGGCTTCTTGACAAGGCGTTGATCCCATTTCTCCTTCCGTTCATGTGGCTTCAGAGCCATATCTTTCTGCAGAGGAAGAAGGAAATGCCTGTCAACCTGTGGGAACACCCTAGGGAGATAGAGTGCGCTCTCAGGTTATGGTGACTCCTCAGGGGAAGGAGCCTTTAACCTGGAAAGCCATGTCTGAAGGGAACTGGACAGGTGATGGCTGGATAATGTGGGAAGATCCCAAGTTCCCAGGGGTCTAGTAAACAGTATTGTAGAATCTTCATGTGTGACATACTTGAGAATTCTCTGAGGTGACGAATTGGCCTGGTGCTAAGTGTACCTGTGTACAGGTGACACACAGGAAATGTGCCCTGGTGACATGCTACATAGAATAGGGAATGAGCCCAGGTGATCCCAATTCCCCCAGTTCTTCCCAGTGACATAGTTCATTCCACGGGAAGCACCACTACCCAGGAGCCCGCAGAGAGCCTTGCCAATTACCCTTCATATTGTCAAACTTCAAGGTCATTGCAGTCAGCTAACCCTGCCAGTGGTCATCTGTCCCCCCCCCATGTTCTGGGGCCCCCATTTGTGCAGCAATGACCAGCACTGATGACTGATCATGGCATAGAAATGAGGTAAACTTAGCTCCCCTCAACCCCCGCCCCCAAGCAGTGGCCAGGGAAAGAGGTCTACAGAAAGACAAAACCTCCCGTAAGACAGAAAATCTGTATGGAAGCAAACATCACAAGGAAGCCAAGGGAGGGCCACCACAGGGCCATTCTATCCACACAAGGCCTCAGAGGCAGAGCCATCATATGCCTTCTGAGTTTCCTGCCCTGCCTTTCTATCCTGGACAGGTCAGGGCTGAACATAAGGACCTTCTACAATACACAAGTATTTTGAAATACACTGATTTCATTGTCCCATACTACAGACTGTCTAGTCACCTGTCCACAAAGGCCCTGGGCTGTCAAGGCTGTCTTGATGCTAAGGGCTGAGATTGATAGGCACTCTGGTGTTACAGCTGTGATGGGGCTGCTTGCAGGGTGTTTTAGACTCAAAGTTTAAATAAACTGAGGTCAACTTTGATGGATACTGAGCAATGATAGTCTCTGACTAGGACACCATAGGGTTATATATGGGAGGGGGCAAGCCTGGACTTTCCCAAAAGCAGAAGGCAGAGGGAGAGAGGAAATAATCAGACAGGGATGCTGCTAACAGTCAGTGAGTGCAAAAATCAAGGCTCAGACCCCTATCAAGGGTTTGGATTTACTAAAGGCTCCACTGGCTCCTCCCATTCTGTTGATCTACTTTCTGGCTTCATCCTGCACACAGAACTGTTTCTTGGTCATCTGCCTCATTAGCCTAGGATACTGAGTGATAGTAGCCAGCCCCTACCAAGACAAGAGACCTTCAAACTTCCCTTCATGAAAGGATCTTGTGTGTCCACTCATCTGAGGGAACAAAGGTGACTCACTCAAGGGGTACTAGCAAGGCTGTCACTAAACCTCACCTCTGTAACTCTTGGTGTAAGCCAACTTTGACTTTGTACATTAGGAGGGCATAGAAAATGCTCAAGCACCACTGAGACTATCTGAAGAAAAATGGGTTAGTCATTCTGTCTGGCCATTCGGGAGCTTAAGCCTGGCCACAGCACTGCTCAGTATGTAGAACTTGTCTCTAAAAGTCCTGGCTTTATTTAGACCACCGGTGACCAAAGGGACTTCACTGGCCTAACCTGAACTTAGATCATCACACAACACAGGGCTGCCTTTAGCAGTGTTCCCTGGTTACTGTACTACAATCTACCTCCCCCTGCTGGGCAAGCACTGAAGCTCAGAGAGATTTTGCATCCATAAACCAGGGCCCAGGCAGCCAGCACTGGAGCATGGGACTGCAGGCTGCAGCACCAGTTTCAGGTACCTCAGGCTTAAGAGCAAGGAGGGCTGTAGACTAGCTGCCTTCAAGTGAGCCAATGCAATTGCAGGGAAAGTGTTAGCCACTCACAAAGGTGCCAGGACACCAAGGAAAGGCTCAAAACATTCATGGATTACAAAAATGAAACAAATTCCAGATTAGGAATAAATTCCAGTGTAGGCCCTGCCTTAGGCTTCTGGTACACACTCACTAGATCCACATAGTGGAAACCTTAAAACCACATACAGACACCAGAGGCTCAGAGAAGTCATCCTGAAAGATAGCCTGGTCTCTGGTATCCCAGAGCTTTGTGTAACCAACCTCTACTCAAGAACCCTGGGAAATAGCAGCTCCTGCCTGAGGAGTCTGGCAGAAGCCAAACACTGGGAGCCCAAGGAGCCATCCTGTCAGGACCTGTAGCTACAAGTTCATAGCAATCCTGACTACCATGTGCATCAGAGTTAGCCACGAGCAGTCAAGCCCACACACAGGGGCCCTGTTTGTGGCAACAGCCCCACAATCATGCCAGGCTTCAAACTTGTATTCCCTCTCAAGAATAGCAAAGCTGAGTACCTAGTAAAGGAAAATGCCCGTTCCATTTTCTATTTCTTTCTTTTTTTTTTTTTTTTTCTATCTGGCTTTTTGAGACAGGGTCTCTTTATGTAGCCCTGGCTGTCTTGGAACTCACTATATAGATCAAGCTAGCCTGGAACTCACCAGTCTCTGCCTCTTAAGTGCTAGAATTAAAGGCGTGTACAACTACTGCCCAGCTTCCAACCCCCCCCATTCAATTTTCTAATGATGGCTTGACATGGCTGTTCCCACTGTGTTACTACTATGCAATACCAATAAAATTTCTAACTGCACTACAGTAAACGAACCACGAGGAGACTTACTTCTCTCCAAGAGGGCAAGCTGCTTACCTTCCCCCAAGGCTCAGCCCCATCCCCTTTAGCCAAGAAGGTACATGTTCACTCTTACTCCTGTTATCAGCAAGCTTAAGGCTGTTCCCTTGGGCAAAGCACGAAGGTTTGCTGTCTGAAGCCTTGTTCCCAGCTTCCGAGTCCACGTGACAACATTGCCCCTGGAAATCTGTGTCTGGAGCTCCAGGACCTTGTACAGGCAACCACTGCTCCAGCATTCCAGGCTCCTTTCTTACCAACTACTTAAAAATCCCAGCAGCCTTCCTCATACTTCCCCTCATGCTTTATCTACCATTTACTTGTTCTCTGGGCTGCAGTCTATCCCAAGTTCAAGATCTCCCTGCAGTCCCCTGACCCTGGGGAGTAATAGCGCCAGCCTACTGCCATTGGCATCTTCATTGCTTCTCTAAGGTAGAGAAATAGGGCTCTCCCACCCCAATCTCCCTCTCTTCAGCTTACCTCTCTCTTCTCCCAACTGTCATACATTCCTTCCCAAGAGGACTGTCCATCTCCACCAGCCCTTATGACTTCTTACCTGTTGTAAAAGGCTCTAGACCACTGCATCCCATCTCTGAAATTTCCAGGTTCATGGACATCACCTTCATACCCACTACCCAGCTGCCAGCGTAGACCAAGGCTTCTGAATGTCCTGTGATCAGTGCAGGCTCCCCATATGATACCAGGAGGCAGAGATCATGTTGCTACATACAGACCTACTGCTACATTGCTAGGGTTCAGGAAAAGTTGGGGAGGCCAGAGCACCAAGGGGTCCAAGATCCACAGCCTACCCTGCAATTACCATGAAAAAGTGTTTTTGAGCATTCCATCCACCGGGGTTCTGGCAATGAACCTTCATCCCTTCAGATCTTATTCCAGCAGCTGCACTATGCACAACACTGTCTGGGCAGAGGGTCACCTGGAGACAAAAGCAGACCTTGCCCGATGGTAAGGTGTAGAAGGCATAGAGCACTGACATTAGCAGCACTATCCAGGGAGGAGCATGGAGACCACTTGCTTGGTGTCTATATCAAGCTGCTGGATCGTGTCCACATTGCTAGCCTGAGCAGTGGTTCTGAAACCAGTATCCACAATCCTTCCTCCCAGCTCCAATTTGCTGAGAAGCTATGTCCACTCAGACACACCACAACATTGTTCTCTGATCCCATGCCTTTGGGGGGAGGGCATGGTTTCTCTAAACTGCTGTTGAGGACTGAGGTCTAGGACAAGGTCAATGAGGGAGATGGACTAAGGGTAGACATTTGCCAGAAGGTAGCTGTAGGAGGGAGGGACCTAGGGGACCTCAGATCTGAGGCCATCCCACAGTCATAAAAGAAATTAGATCATCTAGATTTGAGTGAGGACAGTGAAAAGGTGGTCCCAAAGCAGAGACAAGCTTCAACCTATGTGGCTAAGGCAAGAAAGGGGAGGTCTGGGGCTCTAGGGCAGAGCCATGGTCCCTGCACATGGCTGATGCCTGTTCTAGGCTATCCTAGGTATGGTAGCCTTCAAGCCCCTCTGCCTCAGTCAAGACAGACTGGATCCTTAGTGCTCTCCCATGAGGTCAGTACTCGTGAGAGGGACAGTCCTACCCTAAGCCATTTTTCCTGGCCTATGCTCTTCAGCCAGAAAGCAAGGCAGGCCAATAACCCATCTGTCCACAACAGTCCTGGGGAGACACACCTCAGGTCTGATTTCTGCCACACTCTAGGCTCCTCTAAGCTTCAGCATGGCTACTGCTCAGCTGTTGTCCAGGGTGTTCCCCAAAGCCTCTTCTGTAACACAGGGGCAGCTGAAGCCAGCCTGAATGTTTCTGATGCCACAAGCCTGAGACAGGAAAGGATCTGGGCAAGCATCCAAACTGAGCCTGATCCTCTCTGCACTGGATACCACCAAGTGGTCCAGTTCTGGATATAGGTCTAGCAGGGTCTGTCTGGGGTAGACGGATTCTAAAAGGAAGACATGGGGACCAAAACATGTTCACAACAGGATTCTCATCCTGGTGTCCAGTGGGTGGCAGGGAGAATAAGCACATGTTGCCTCATTACCCTTCCTGCAGATGAGGAACTAAGGCCCAGAGCAGGAAGCAGGTTTTCCCAAGCAATTTACAGACTTCCCTGCTATGCTTAGCTGACAAAGCTGAAGGCCTAGGAAGCCCAGGGCCTCTTCCTGGGAGCTAGGAGACGGTGGTTACACTGCTGGAGAAATGTGTAGAAGCCCTGAGACAGACTCACTGGT